TTTGAAAGAAATGTTACTAGTTGCATTTAGTAAAAACAGATTTTAATTAAATCCTTAATTTTTGGAAAGAAAGACTAATTAGATGTGTATTTTATATTTTACAAAAATTGTATATAAAATACTATTGTCTTTTTTATTTAGAGCGCACTATAGTAACTTCTTCGGAATGTAGTGAATTTTTTTAAATAGATATTTACTATTAACGCTAATTAAAATGTTGTATATATGAACACAAAGTAAATATTAATAAAATTGTTGAGTTAATATTTTTAATTAAACTGTTCAGATATCTCAGATTTGCATAATGATATTAAAGTAGAAACCGCCAATTGAATGGAAATAAATTAATATTGTGCACTGTAGGTTCGCATCATGTAAGGCAAATACTCGAAGGCGTATCCTTGCAAATGGACGCATGCATGACTGTAAGCGCAAATATCATTGAGATATATTTGCATTGCATAGCGAGGAATTCGCATGCTGTACGTGTAATGTTTGCATCTCAGATTGTTCTGTTTGTAAATGTATCTATAGAACGTCACTGAACCAAATAATAATCACGATCATAACAATAACAATTACATTGGAAATAAAACCAAGTAAACAGTTCAATTTAACTTGTTTGTTTTCAGAGTTTTATTTATATCTAGTTTAATGCAGTACTCGCATTTGTTTTAAGATATTCACTTTGAATGCTAAAAGTTGAATGAAGCAGTTACTTTTTATCAGCACTTTACTTGTTCTTAAAGCTTTATTGTGTTTTTAAACTTTTTAACAAAATCATTTAATTTTATTGTCTGAAACAAGAAACTTTTTTAAATGCTTGTATTTTGCATGATTCTCAAGATTTTGGATAAAGTTAAATATAATTTTGTTTTTTTCTTTATTTTTTGTTATTTTAGTATAAAGATCTACTAACCATAAGTCTCTCTTTTAATCATTGTTATTAGTAGAAATGATTTTTACTATAAGTACTTGCATTATTATATTATTGCTGCAATAGATATTGAACACTTAGCATAATTGACAAAAAAAAAGAAGAAATTCAGATTTTCTTCTGAAATTTTCTACAATTTTATATAAAATAAAATAAAATTATATGTTTAAAAAGATAGAAAAATATTATTGTCATTATTTTATGTAAGGAAATTATATATTTGTATATCAAATTAATGCAAATGCTAACAGAAATATTAAGCCATGTCTAATCCAACGCATTTAACTGATTAAATGTGAAATAATAAGTTAAATGTCAACATAACTAATTATGACTAGCACGAAATTTAGATGATATTCTTGAAAATAAAGTTGTTAATTTAAGTACAAAAGTTTCAAATGCAAAGTTTAACGTGGTATTTACTGGAACTTGTCAAAAGTTATTTTTTTTGAAGATTTGTTATTATTATAAATTCGCAAAGAATCAAATTTGTTACTATATTTTAATTACTATTATATTATATGTTATAATATAATTTAATTCTATTTAAAAAAATTAATGCAATTAAAAAATATTTGACAACTTAACAAGTTATTTCGGAGTGGCTGTATACAAAAAGTTAACGAGTTAAATATAAAATAATAATAATTATTATTAATTACTATTACTAAATAATAATTACTATTATATTATATGTTATAATATAATTTAATTCTATTTAAAAAAATTAATGCAATTAAAAAATATTTGACAACTTAACAAGTTATTTCGGAGTGGCTGTATACAAAAAGTTAACGAGTTAAATATAAAATAATTTGTTATTTACTTAATAAAATCTGGGACTTAAAATATTGAAAATTATAGCATGGATGCTAGTTGTATAACGTCTATATGTTCCAGTATTAATTAGGTATGTATTGCAAAATTATGCTAATTGGATACAGATATATTATTTATACCGTTTATATCCGCACATAGTGTTGATACCGTTTATATCCACACATAGTTAGAAAGAAAATAGAAATAAGAATGTATAACAGAGAAGTTGTGGACTTTAAAATTATATTTTATTTTGTCATTTTAAGTATGAATATTTAAGTGTGGTTAAATTTCTTTAAGCTATTATGTTGATAGATAGAGAAAACAGAACGAAACAGTCTAATTTATATATAAACTATTTAAAAATTCAATTGTAGTTACAAAGTAGTAGTATAGAATAAATTTTTATAACAGACATTGATTTCATGGGGTGTAATCTCGATGCCTGAATTATGACGTTTTCATAGTAATGAATAAACAGAGAGTTTAAAAAGTTTATATGTAATGAGAACTTAATTAAATTAAAACTTTTAAAACTTTTATTGAAAGATATATTAAAGCAGAAATAACATTGAATAGATATTGGAAAATTGTCAATCTCTTTCATTGACGATATATCAAACGACAAATTGATAAATAATATGATATGATAAGCAATAAAAAAAAAGGATCATGTTATATTCTATTAAAGACCAAATCGGCAATAAGACTCTGAGTTTCAACACTCTTAGTCAGTAAATCTGGGAGTAATAATGTAGTAATTTTCAGTCAAACCATAACACCGATTTTGCAAAAAGACTGTAGGTAATGAACGGAAGCAATTTTAAATTGAAATATTATCTTTTCATTGCTAATAGAATGATAAATCGAAATTCTAGGTAAGGTTATTAAAATATATCTCTACTATTTTTGAACTGAATATGGACATTTGCCACCTTTTTTATAAAGTAATTATTAATATAATAGAGTAGAAATTATAAATTAATAAAATATTCTAAGCTCTCTCTCTTGGCTCAATATAATGGATAAATGCAAACATGGCAGATATTTTCTTTCAGTCATAATAGAGTATATAAGACACAAGTAGAATAATAATACGGTTTCTATATTATTTCTGCTATAGAAAAAAATAATGCATATCCTTACACCACAAGAAAGCATCATTTATACAAATGTCCATGATGCGCCGTGAATTATGCAGCAAACTTTTTTAAATGTCAAAATTAAGTACTAGTATGCAGCGTAAATAGTGTAGATTGAAGATATGGATTCAATAAATGTAAATTGCTTAGTTTCATACTATAAAAATAGTAAAGAACACATAACTACCATCTTGGCTAAATGCACGAATCTATACATAATATTGTATTTAGTTGTCTATTAAGTCTGGAAAAATATTTTGAAATGAAATTTCATTTGCATTTCTAAAATGTTTCAACTTCATTTCATTTTGAAAAACAGTTGGATATCTTAAAGTTCTCAAAAATTAACTAATAGCAGAGATAATGTCAAAATATAACACAAATGTTACCAAGTTCCGTGGTGACCATGAGAATACCAAAGATACTAGGAAGTTAGGTAACCAAATATGGTACTAGTTCCGGACACTAACTAAACGCCTTTTAATTCATATTATGTTTAAACTAATATCACTATTATTAGCACCAGTATTTTTTAAAATTTGCTTAGAGATTCCCAATTTGTATTCAAAAAAGTTGCTTTTCTAAGCAGGTTACTGAAGTTTGATACTAGATATAACTAGTTATGGCCTTATAGCTAATATTATTATAAAATATTATTATTATTTTGAAGTCACCATTTGTATCCTCAAAGAACCTATAATTCAAGATATATACTAATATGTACCCGTACATACTGGCGCGTGTATGTGTGTACATACATGTGGTAACGAATACGCAGACAAACTAGCCAAGAAAGGAACAGCCACACCCATAATATGGTCGGAACCTTTCTGTGGATAAAGTCATAGTAACCTTCTTTCTTTCATAAAAATAAAGGAGAAACAGAACAAAAAGGATTACTGGTATAATATACCATCATTAACATAATCCAAATCACTTATTGGCACTTATAATAATAAGAGATACCAGGACTGTATGAACCTATCAAAAGAAAAAAAAACAAATCATCGCAGAAATCTTAACAGTTTATGGAATAAACTTCTGAAAATACATGTCTTATTGCAACAAGCAATAAAACTCTGTAAAGTAGTTTCTATACTATTTTTTAGCGATGCAACAAGGGTGAAAGACTTAATCTAAATGCAGAAGGGGGCACAATACACCCGATGGTCGCAGTGGCACATCCCAAAGCAATAATAATCATAATAATAATATACATATATAAGCTTTTAATTTACATACTATTTCAATTAATATTATTACTTTTTTATAATTTCTTTAGTTTATATTTTAAACAAATCTGTACTCTCTAAGAAGTTTGATGTTCTTTGAAAGTTATGTTAGAAACTATTATTATCTTTTAAATTTGGGAGTTTATTTAAATTTAAATAAATATTAGGATTGTTGTTTATTTTTTAATTTGTTTATTTAAGGAATTCGGACTTTAATTCACTTATAAAGTGAACTGTTTAATGTTTGCTTGTATTATCTATATTGTTTTAAAAAATGATATTGGAATTTATATAACTATTGTTGTACATGACATTACTGTGATGTACAATTACATACTTAAATATCTTCATTAAAATTGATTTGATTTTACACTTAAAATAAAGTGTTTTATCCATGTTCATTTAATTAATTGCTTCAAATTACCTTGTACTTTGAGTAAAAGATTTTTGTAATCAAAAAATATTTATTTGGTAACAAAAAAAAAACAATGTAACTAACATTCGAATAGATAAAACATTCTGAAATGTCATTACAATATTTCATTATTTATTAAAGCCAAATTACTTTATGTCACTGAAAAAATGTTAAAGCATTTGAGAGCACTTTCCGTTTATGTATTAATAAATAATTTAAAACTACTATGACATTTGTAGCCACAACAAAAGTACGAAAGTAAACTGTAACAAACTTCCATAAAAGCACTCAAAACGTTTTCATTTTAATTTAACAAAACTACAATATTTTACGTTAAACAAATGAACGCTATAAAATGAAATAAAATGTTAGAACGTTTATTAAAAAATGGAAAATGGAAAAGAAAATACGAGTATTGGATTAAAATAGAAAATAGAAAAACATTCTGTACTCACCCTTGCTCGATCCGTCTGGCCCGCGGAGTATGGTGCACTCCTCTATAGTGCCAAAAGGATTAAAAATTTGTCTAACATCCTCTTCGGTCTGCTGCTTGCTTAGCATGCCAACGAATAGTTTTCGATCTAAATGGTCTATTGTTGTTTCAGATTTTTTTTTTTTTCAAATTTTTATTTTACCAAAATAAAAGGCCAAAAAAAAAAACACAAATAAAGGAAAAACGAAGAAATTAAATAATATATAGAGTAATATTACAAAAAAAAAAAAAAATAATAAAAATAATAAAAATAAAATTATATATATTAATATAAAAAGAAAGGAATTTGCGAAATAGTAGATAATAAAATAAAAAATACAAAAGAAAAAACATAAATTTAGAGAAATAAAATATTAGAAAATATATAAAAAAAAAGAAATAAATAAAGGGGAATTACATAAAAATAGCAAATACAAAAGTCAGCCCGCATGACAGTAATAAAATTTTTAATAAAAATTCCATTATATAAATAAATTTAAAAATATGTAAATGGAGACAAACGCAACAAATGCACAATAAAACGATTGCAAGTACCAAGATACAACATTAAATATATTTTTTAATATGGCATAAAAACGTTACAACATTTATAAATAATACGATATCATTTAAAAAATATATTTTATATGATGGGATTTAAAAAAAATATTTTTTTTATTTAAAATTTAAAAATCGTTCCAAGTCGTTAGGAGTCGTCGTTAAAAATTGCATGTGAGGTTTTTTAAAAATATTTTGAAATAAATTTTAAAAAGTTTGGTGGAGTTTCATGAATTGTGGGATTGTAAGAGACGCGAGCGAGCACGATTTTGTATTTTTGAAAATTAAAATATTTAAAGAAATCAAAATCGAAAGAAAAGTCAAGTAGTTTTAATAGATTTTAGAGGACCAATTAATTTGTATATCGAAATCGAAGCGCCAATTCGTGCGGTTTTCGTTTAATTCGTGTTTTTTTTTATTTTATTTTGATTGAGTTTTTGAAGAGCACAAAAATGAAAAGAAAAAGACAAAAAATGTGACTTTAGTAAATTTGGAAAATATTTAATAGGTTTTTTTTTTATAATTAATAATCATAATCACTTATTTAATATAAAAACTAATTAACTAGCAACTAAGTAAAACTATTTAAATATATATAAAATTTGCATTTTTATAACAAAATTACAATATATTTTACAAACACACACACACACACATACTAACACATATTCTAAGTACATAATTATTTAATAAATAAATTAATTTAAAAAATTACATATAAAACTACATTTTATATAAAAGACTTGTTATATGAAATAAAGTAACAATTAATTTATTAACTTAGATTTTAAATAGTTTAAATTTTTTTTCAGATATTTGTTTTTTAAAGGCGATATATTTATGTTACCTCTAATAATTCGTTATTAAAGTTTATATAATTATTACGTCAAAAATACTATAAATATTTATTATTTTATAAACAAACGATTTTTAAAGTAGACTTTACACAACATAATTCATCAATTTTTAATAATTATTAAAAATAAAAAATAAAAAAACAATGAATTGGTGATGACTTCAGATTACTCTAAGAATCAATTAAATAAAAATTATTTTTAAATAAATCATTGTTGTTTTCTTAACTTTTATTTTTAATAATAATAAAAAAATTCACCAATTACTATGTGAAAATACTATAACAAGAATATTTTATAAAAGTTATTGTGAAGGAAACAACTTTACGAATATGATATATTAAGCGATACGATAATTGATTCCCCAATATTCAAGAACGTACGCAACACCATTCAATGGAGTGCAAAGAAATTCTGCTTTGGCACCATTGAACTTTGAGAAGATATACCATAAAAAATATTGAACTTTTCTAATACAACTGTCAGGTTTTTCACTCAAAGTATTATTTACTTATATTATTTAATGTGATGCTCAAAAAATTGATTGAAAGAAGCAATGTACATATAATGTTATTATCTCTACGTAAAATTTTTTGTTGAACCAATTTGTTCTTCAGATAAAGATGAAGGATACATAAAGTACACTTTCGTTATCACTGACAGACCAGTTCAGAAACTGTCACTAAGATATTGGAAGATATTAAAAGAGATTTTTCTTCTTCTATATATATAGAAGAAAACATGTACCTATACTATATATATAAGTACAAAAAGGAGATTACTATAACTAATCACTGAGAGATCCATCTTCTACAGGCTGCCAATATACTTTTATATTTCAGATAGTTTAATATATCGCATATAGATTTTTTTAGAGAGGTTTCGAAGAGTAGTTTATTTTTAATTGTTTAATTTGAATACTATTCTTTTATATGAAAAGGGAAAAAAGAGTTTTAAACATTTTTCGGATATATTAAAATTGGATGAATAATATATAATACGTATATTAGTTTTCACAGAACTGAATAGTCTGAATTGATTCCTCTTAATTGAAAAAAGCATTTAGTTAAAATTTAGCGCGGAAGATTGATACCTGATAGCAATGTTAAGCATCAATCTAAAGAGTTCAGATTTGGATATATTAAATCCCATAGATTAGATAGATTAGGTATGTGGTTTTACAGAAGAAACTTCTATTTGCGTTCTAAAAATTTTAGATTTGAATACAATAGGTACTAAATTCATTGGTTTAAACATAGGAGAGAAATTTCGTTCTTTGCTGACATGTTTTTACAATATTTTTATGTGAGATGATGAAATTTAAATTATTCAATAATAAAATTTAAATTTGATTTATTTAGTTTAAACATAAACTAATTGATTAATTGAATAATTAAACTCATTTTCGACATTATGTTTATTTTCAATTAACTTGAATTAACTTGTCTATATACTATTCAAGGAAAGTAGGAAGACACTCTTTTATATATATTTTATGTTATATATGTATGTGTTTCTACAACATTTCTAATTGCAATTAAATTAAATAATAACCTTTTCATCACTTCAATCAAAATATTATTTACTTTAAAATATCGATCTGCTATTTATTTTAAACATTTTTATGAAGTTTAAAAATAATCCCTGAAAATGTATTTTCAATAATTTGATATCAACATAATCCATTTTGATAGTGTGATTATTTCATATATATCGTGTATGATATATTATTTTATATTACAAAATATTTTGAACTAAAATGCAATACTCTTATGTCCTGCGGGTGAGTTTCTAATAATAAAATGTAATCAAAACCAATTCGATAAGATAAAGTTCAGGAAAAGTAAACGCAATCATGGGCAACCTCTGTATAGTTTACCTTTGATTACTCCTTGCAATGTGAAGCACATATGTATATAAATCATTGATTGGGTATATTGGATGAAACCGTACTATACCATTCCGAAGAATACATGAAACCAATATGTTTTGCTAACAAAAGAAATACCCGTCGGCAGTTGTTGTAAAAAATTGCAAACAATTTCAAAAGTATAATTTTGAGCAAAAATTTTCCAGTAAAGATAATTTGCCAATGGCAGGCAAGTGGAGAAAAACGTTTGTTATCGAAGACAAGATGCTACTAATATGGCAAAAGTTGCAAGCAGCCCGAAATGGGATGTGAGTGCGTACAACTATCCCGTAAAGATGTACGAGCAACAATAGTAGTTGAGCTAATAATTGCCTAAAACACATCCTCGGAAAATAAGAGGAAATAACCATTTTCTGAAAGTACATTGGAAACACATGGCGCTCTTATTCAAAAGAAGGAAGAAAAATATTAGGAATAATTGTGCTGCTTGTTGCTGTTGGTAATACTCTTGTTAGGAGTGTGGAATACTTAGAAGCACCTTAAGGACATTCATTCTTTCCGAGAGTCAGCTTGTTTGGCTGCCTGCCTAGTTGCCTGCTTGCCTGCCTGCCTGCCTGCGTAAAAGTGGCAAATAGAAATGCAACTTTTGCACCTGTTTTGCCAGAAAACACTACAAGAATGCTAAACACTTTCTGATAGTCGGTAAAACAATGGGCTTGATAGGAGCATACCGAAACAACACAAAAAACTGTGCTCACACATACTGAAGTGTGGGTCTAAAAGGACACACGTGATAAAAATGTAAAGCACGTACACTTGCATGATATTTGCCTAGAAGCAAATATGCTACCATAGCAAAGACTAAATGGAGTTGTACTTATAGCCGTACAGTTTAAGTGGATGTTAACAGTTCAAATAAAAAGCAAGAAAAGAGTTAACGCCAGAGGCGAAAGGTCACAAAAGAGAATCGTACAACACTAAAGGATTTTCATTACGATAGCCAAAGGAGCAATTTTCCACAATTACTGTACTTATGCTTGCCGTAAAACTACAATGCAACACAATCGCTCCAAATACCGACACTGCTCGGCTCGGTTGGCAGTATGTGGGTATGGGAGCATAAAATTCACAGTTTCAGAGATTTTTACCAGTTGTCAAAAGGTAAAGTTGAATCCTGAATCCGTTAAATAGAAAGAAAACATATAAAAATAAAAGTAAAGACCATTAGGCTCATATAGACAAGTTAAGTGGCTCTTTTAGTGCCATAACACAGCGTCATGTGGCTAATGTATTTGCAAGTGCCGTAGTTTCAATTTTGTTTAACTTTATTTTTTTATGAAAAAATTTTTCTTTTAAGTTTTAATTTTGTTACGTGTTTGTACATATATACATGTGTTTATACATATATATTGACGTATATATGATATTGTATATGAGAATATTTGTAACATTTTTCTGTTGCAAAAGAAGTCATTAACGCGATGTTGTCTTTCGTTTTTGCCATAAAATTTTGAGTCCTGAATTCTGAATTCTGTATTCTGAATTCTGTATTCCGTATTCTGTATGCGATGTTATCAAGGATAAAGGATGCTAAGGGCAAGCAAATTTCTGCCGCCGACTCGTAGCTTAAACTGTGAAGGAAAAGTATATAAAAAAATCTGCAAAATAATGAAATTGTTAACCACATGAAATTACAGGTGCTTGTTATTCTCGTTTTCCTTGCTTCATTTTTTCATTACGAGTACACCAGGCTTTCACTAGATCCTTCCGTTGCTTATGACTTTTGTTAGTTGCTGCTTGGCTTATATATTTTATATATAAAACAAGAGTTAACTT